ATATTTAATAAAAAATTAATATAAAAAAATTACTAGATAAGTCTCATAAAAAGATTTTTTCAAAAGTTTCTTATTAAAAATTTATAAATTAAAAATTAAAAATATTATTTTTATTCTTTATTTATGATAATTTTAAGATATATAAATATCAAAACATTTTTATGAAATTCTAAAAGAAAGACATGTCATATGGGAACAAACCAAACACCCTGGGCTTGATTTTCTTGAAACTCGGAAGTTAATTTCTCCAAAGCCACGCGGGCCGTCCGGCCCAAATCACCGTCAGAAGGCGAGATTGCTACTTGTGTGAAATTGTGCTAAATTTAAGTCCTCTTACTTTATTGAACAACATAAACAAGTCCTTTAATTTCCATAATGTTCAATATGGCCTCTGTGGTGCAAGAAATCTAGCATCTTTTATTCCTAAACAGCACCCATGTGGCTGCATCTTTCCACATTTTTCATCACAATGTTCCGTAAAATTCTTCATTGTATTCCACGCTTTGGGCACAATTTTAGTGAACATGATCACGTAGAATTTCATTTGCTGCTTTTTTTTTTTAAAAAAAAAAACTTTGTTTTGGTGATTTACATTCATCTAGAGAAAATGTTACTGTTCTCAATGACTTAAGTTGCCTGTGGTAATTTTATTTTACTAAAAGTAAATTTTATGTTTGAGTCATATGATATGTAAATTAAATTAAATAAAAAGAGAGTTATTTTTTATTATATAGCTCAAAATTAAAAAAAAAAAAAAAAAGAATACTGTTGACCTATCATTGCATGCATATAACTTGGTCCTAATTATTGCATAAATTGGCAAATCAAAATAATATTTAGGTGAACATAACTAATGGAGTGCAGTTTATTTGAGATTCTTGCTGAAAAGGTAACAAACCATTAAACACATTCAAGAAATTGACGCTTTAATATTTTAGCAAAGCTTGAATTTCTTGCTTAATTAATTAGCTAGTATTTTGAGATTTAACACACAATATTTCCTTAACATATATACTCTTATAATATCTTCACCTAGACTTGAGATATCATATTTGAAATTTTATTTTAATAGTATATATGGTAAAAAATTTGAAAATAATAAATATGAGTTTGATTATTGTTAGTATTTCAACTTCAATTTTTAACCTTTAATTAATTACTATTTTGAAAATTTTAAAGATTTTCTTTAGCTCACCAAATAATAGAAGATTTTTAAATTTTTTTTTCTAAAATGCTTTAAACAACAGAAAATAATTTTAAAAAAGAAAATATTTTTCCTAAATAATAGTTTCCAACATGAAATTATTTTGCATGAACCAAATGGAGTCTAAGAATCAAGAAAACCATATTTTCCATAAATGTTGTTCTAAAAGCTCAGAAACCGCTTTGATATTTCTGAAGAACTTCAGGGACTATGGTCCTGTATGCTTTTTCTGAGGGGTGTGCCGAGTCCCAAAAAACATAGTTGGATGGGTCTGAACACGTCACTAGAGTCAACCGACTGCATATTTCTGCAACTCCACTGCCACAACACCCTCTTGTCGCAACATCAAAGCCTGAAAATTGACACAAAAAGCTTAGAATCTATATAATTTGATCATCCTATTGGAAACTATAGTGATAATAAGTTCTAACCTGATTCGTGAGGGTTTTGAATAAGTTGAAGGAGAGGATTGTATACATCGACGAAGACCAGCTTAGCTCCTGGAAGGCTGCCCTTCAGATTGTTTATGTCGGATTCCAGCTTGGAATTGAACAACATTGCTGCCTGGTTGACAATCTCTGTACAAAGTCCTCCTAGAGCTATCCTTGCTGCTGGTAAGCATCCTAAGGGTAGTGTACTCATAAACGCGAATCTTCGAGCTCCCAATCCATACAAATCCTTCAGAAGAATACAAATTTGTACTAAGAACACATATATATAGATTGATGCCAAAACATTTACTTGTTTCTCAAGCAAAGGTATGAGCTATTCATCATTTAATAATTTAAAACAAATAATGATGGGTACATTTTTTGATTTAATATATTTTATTATATATTTATTAAAAAATTATTATTCGTAAATTTAAATTAAATACAAAA